GCTTAGAACTGTCAGTTTATGTTGAAACACAGGTACCTGTACGAGCACCGAAGTTGAGCAAATTGTGGCTGGTCAGTAACTAGATGAGTGACCGCTTGGGCGCTGTAAGATTGGTTACGGCTGTTGTAATCGATAATGGCTCGGAAGTGTTAATCGGAGAGCTGTGTTTCAGTTGGGTTTCCCTATAGTCACTTATACGCAAATGCATTAGCAAACCACCTCTTCTCCCCCAGTTATGGGTTAATTAGTAAGAATTCTATCACTAAATCATTATTATCTCAAAAAAATCTTACAATGTTAAAATATTTCCTGACCTTAAGTAACCTGCAAAAGGTCGATAACGCGTAGAAAATGAATCAATGAAAAAATCAATCCGATTGATTTGAACTGGAAACATCGAAAGCGGAAACGTCGAATATAAAGAGATAAGACCGACAATCATACTACAAACAAATAAGTAAGGACCGTCCCCTCTTTATTCTATTACAAAGTGGTGACCTCATACAATACAAATTCGAAGAGACCATGAAAGGTTACTAAATGAGGTTGTTATAATGGAGATAGTAAGAACTGCATATTATGAGAATGTTAGGGGACCTTAACCATAATAACACAGTGGACTATTCTATACGTAATAAATACTGCGCCTCAAGAGTTCAGTCCGAAGTCGGGCGACCGGCTGATCGGTTGAACTCTCCGCCTTCGGGCGGGAAGGAACCCGAACGCAGCTACACCGAAGAGCGGAGTCTCTTTCGGGGAGGTAAACCGACCCTGAACCCGTTTATACGGGTTCAAAGGGCATATTTTTGGCCGAGCCCACGGGCTCGGAGATCCCACGTTAAACAGGCCTTGTGCCACATGATGCACTTGTGGGGTGGGGGTGACTAAATACTGTTCAGTCTGAAGTCTAGAGTGAGGTCCGTCAGGAGTCTGTCAGTCAATCAGAACGAGCAAGTCAGTCGAGTCAGAGGCAGTCCGAAACAGAGTCAGGTTCAGACAATTACTACTAAACCTGATTGTTCGTACTAACACTTTCTAGTTCTCAGTATATATTCCTGTTTGTAATATATCTGTGTCATTCCATATCCGTATTCGAGTTCTTCTTTATTGGTTCTACCTTGGACTATCACCGTGGTACAAGGAACCGGGCCATAACAGAGGATATGTATGATAAAATGGAAGATTGAATGGTCAAATATATCCTCTCAGGAGACTGCCCCACTGATTGAAACTTTCTACTTAGAAGTTGATTGGTTCACCTATCTTCCGTTTCAAACCTCCTCCCCTGTCTTTTTGAATAGGATAAATTTTTATACTTTGATTCCCCTTCATGATTTGGTTTCCAGTTCCTTCTAGTGTTTAATAATTCTCTTTTCACTTCTTTGTTGCATTATTGGGGTGAACTGATAATAAATGAAACCTTGCGAATACGACAGGAATACGCATTAGTTGTCTCAGTGAATGTGTCATGATGGCACTAGCTGTGAAGTTATGGAATCGATGAATTAAAGGGTGAAGCTCGTCTGTACATTTGCTATAGAAATGGCCATAGTGTCGCGATAGTTTAGCGAAGTTTCGAACGTGACTACAGGAAGGAAAATAACTCATCTCACACACGACGGCGTAATCACTACTGAACGGTGTCAAGTGTAGACAATTATTACTGGGCATCTCCAATATAGATAGGGAATCAATAGCCCATTTTGTGTCTTAATTTGATTCTTGTAACGATAAAATATAGCAGGAAGAAAAAAAAACGGTGCAAAGTGCAAATCTCACACCTAACGACGAAATATCATAAAAATATTATCTTTTTAAGATCTGTGAAAATGTAATCTAAATGCGGGTTACCCAACAATGGCTTTCATCTCAGATATAACCGTAAAAAAAAACAGGAAAATATGTTTTTCATGTAGTGAATTTCGCTATTTTTTTGCAGTGAGTTTCCACCTGTCGGGAGACACTCGAGGTAGAGGTTTGCAGAGTAAGACGGACAGTTTATGCGGATATGTGGGAAAGATAACGGTTAAACATAGACTTGAACAGATTAAGATTGTAGGGATCAAGAAATCATCCTCGTGGGAGTCGTTTGCACAGGTTCGCGGGAAAAAGCTGCTCGGTAGAACTTACTTCTCAACAATGGAACACGGAGAGACTGTGGGTCGTTTGCTACAATGCGGGTGGCATGGCCGCTCTTAGCCGTGAAGGTAAGAAATGGTGGGAAAAGATTGTAGTTCGTCTGCGCACTTTCCATGGAAATAACGACAGAGCAGTGAGAGGCTTGTGCCATTTCGTCTGTGAGGAAAGGGGTTGTAGGGTGGAAAATACTTTGTCACCCACAAGGATGCGGAGACGCTTTTGAACTCTATCGAGACTGAATAGTGAGAACTGGGCTGCTCCTGGCCAAATATAACAGCTGTATTTCATTTTATGTTTGACTTGGCTCTTCTAGAAATAGTGAACAGCCGGAGGATTGATGTACTTTTTGTAGTTGTATATGGAACCAACCATTTCCCCTGCATCTTTAGCGATGAATCATTGCAATAAAGAGAGCATATATTTAAAAAATAAAATAAAATCTCTAATTATGTGGAAAATAAAATAATCGTAGAATATAAAAAAAAAAAAACAGTTATGCATTGGTTTTCTTTGGATATTACTTCTCCCCTCTCCTGGTAAATGTCCCTGAACTTTTGAAATTCCCAAAATCATTTTGCACAGCTATTTTGTTATTACGTATTTTTACCCTAATTTGAACATTCATAATAGCATTTCTAGTATAGAATCACAATTTGAGCCCTTCGTGTAGGACAGTGGTTCACAAATGTTTTTTTTTTCCTCTGGGTTGCATTTTCGGAATGAAAACTTGCTCGCGCCTCACAAATTGTATAAATAATAAGTAATAAACAGTACATTTTAAAATAGAAAAAAAAACAAAGAGAGGGTCAAAGGGAGATAACCGCGGACTCGAATTCGGAACATTATTATTGTTAACTCTCTCCTCCAATTTGCAGACCCTAGATATTATATTCTTAATACTTGATGTAATGCGAAAATATCACATTGATAAAATTGGTCAGTAATTATTTATAACTATTTATACTGGGGCACATGTATGCAATTATAAGTAATCCATAATAATATTTTAAATTTCGAAATCATATTTATTTTTGGCATATGAATTTTTTCAAACTGTTTCTAAATCTTTGATTGTCTTTCAATGCTTCTGCCTCACATGCTCTCCGTTTCCGCCACACGTATGATGCGCTCTGCACCCGGATGTACGAGAAAATGAAGATTTTTTGCCGATATTCTCAGTCTGATTTGCTATTGTTATGGGACCTACCTTTATGGACTAAATGGACTCCTCCTATTATATACGGGGAGATTATGCCTCTCAAGAGATCTGTCTACAGTTGACATGTTCCAGCTAAACAGTCGAATTCTCTGCCTTCGGGCGGAGAGGAACCCGGACGAGGCCGTTCGGGGAGGTAGACTGCCCCTGAACCAGTTTATGCGGTTTCAAAGAGGGATTATTTTTGGCCGAGCCTACGGTCTCTGAGATCTCCCGTTAAACCGGCCTTGTGCCACATGTAACCCTCGTGGGGGGGGTAACTAAATATCGCTGTCTACAGTTGACCTGTTCCAGCTAAACAGTCGAACTCTCTGCCTTCGGGCGGAGAGGAACCCGGACGAGGCTTCGACGAAGGGCAGAGTCTCGTTCGGGGAGGTTGATTACCGCTGAACCCGTTTATGCGGGTTCAAAGAGGGATTATTTTTGGCCGAACCTACAAGCTCGGAGATCCCACGTTAAACAGGCTTTGTGCCACATGTAACACTCGTGGGTGGGTAACTAAATATCGCTGTCTACAGTTGACGAATTGACTACTGTACTTTGCCGTCAGTTGGACGTACAACACTTTTGTATTCGTTCTTTTTGTTTAATAATATGTTTTTACTAAATTGCCGAGTTCGAGTTTTCTTTCGGACCTATTCTGGGTCCACCACAGCTATAGACAATGTGTGATACAATTGGCTGGGTCAAAAATCTCTTGACTATAAATCATCTGTAAATAATGGCTCATACAATAACAAAAAGATATTGCATCATGTAATCTCACACAATACAAGTTAATGCACAAAACAAAAATAACCTTGTTACAGCTAAGTAGTCTTAAAATTTGTTAATGACTATAGTCTCGCTCGTATTACGACATTGCCTCTGTGTAAAAGAGGCTGCAGTTAATGAGTTGCCCCACTCAAAAATGTACATAAACGATGTGGAACTATATCTCATGCTGGAAATTGAGGATTGTGCAACTGCAGCCTATAGCAGCAAATTTCCATTTTTGAACCTATCTGTCTCTTGTAGAGATAAAGCATAACAGGAGTAAGTATTTTTAGTTTCCGGTCCATTATATCTGTTTTTATGTGAACAAGAAAAACAATTAAATATTAACTTAAATTTAAAAAAGATCTTTATTTAATTCAAAGTAATTTAGGAACTTATGCATGTGAATTGCCTCATTCCTGATCTTGTCTCGCAGGTCTTGTTCACTACTTTCCTCAGGCATTTCATCTCACAAGTGATCAGCTTCCTCTCAAGAGTTTTTGTTAGTGGCCATTTATGGCACTGGTATATCAGCGTTGGTAGGAAAAATTGATGAGATTGGCCTTGTTGCTCATGAAAATGCTAGGATGTTTTAGAAGAGGAGCAAGTTGGCTTTCTGACATCTGGTCTCAATTTCTCTGTCTAGTTTCCTGTTTTTAGTAAATATGCTGCCCAGATATTTGAATTTACTGGCTTGCTTTAGTTGGGTCCCATTGATGTTAATATCCAGTTTTTCCGGTCTCTTGCAGATGGTCATGACTTCGGTCTTACCGACACTGATTTTAATGTCATATTTCTCGTAGCTTGAGTTGAGTTCGAATGAGACAATAAGAGGCATGGTAGGAACAATACCAATCATACAACACATCATAGCATCAAGTGGTTTGGT